GAAGCCTTTGGCAAGTGACTCACATGAGAAGTCTCCTGGCTTGTTTTCTCATGTAGAGAATGAAGATAACACTAGGTATCTCACGGGGATACAGAGAGGACTAAATAAGATAGTGTATGTTAAATTCTTGGCATATAAAAGACATTCAATAATGGACAGTTCTGTTCTGCTCTGGACCAGAACCAGGGTGAAGCATGGGAGGCACTCACCATGGGTACAAAATTTAAGGGGCACCAAAAACTCATTAATCAAGATAAATAATACTTTAATGTAATACTTTAAAAATTATTAGCATTAATGCAGACAACTATATGAAGGACAAAAATATCAAAATTTTAAATAAAGGCGGAGTCTGCCCTGTACTTTACAACCCTGGCTCGCTTGCCTCATCCTAATCCTGGCCCTGCTTCCAGAGAATTTTATTTACAAATGCAGGAGCCAGCCACTGGGTCATAGTGTGTTGACTTCATTCTTTGAAATATTGCATTAAAATATTCTTTATATTTATTACTGAGGAGGGTGAAGGGAGCCTTATAATAGGGGAAATATAGAGATGTGTACATTATAGTTACATTCGGGGAACTTGAACTTTGATCCTTTCCCCAGCCCCATGAAGCAAGAAAATAGTATTCTCATTTGCTATGAAAAGAGATTGTGGTCCATAGCCACTGAGTCGCCAAAAAAGTATTTACTTACTCTGGTGCTCTAACCTTAAGTATTGCTAGAGGAAATACAGAGATGTGTATATTACAGTTACATTCAGGGAACTTAGTGACAGAAGGGGTGAAAAAGAGAAATGGGCACAAAATAATAATAATTTTTTATCGGGTATTATATGTTAGAGTTTGTGTTATATGTATTATCTCACTTAATCATCTTTAAAAGCTTCATGATGTATGTATTACCATCCTTATTTTGCTGATAAGTAAACTGAGGCAAAGAAAATTAACTTACATGATCAGCTGGTAACTAGCACTTTTAGCATCTTTTCTATTTTACCATAATGAATTGTAAATAATGCTTTACAACTTAGAAGAGATTTTTATGCATATTTTCTATGAAGGAAGAAAATAGTATTTCCATTTGCTATGAAAAGAGATTTCAGTCCACAGCCACCGAGTCACCAAAAAAAAAAAATATTTTCTTACTCTAGTGCTCTATCCCTAACAACTTCTTGTCTCTCATCTAGGAATTATTCATCAAAACTCCCTAGTATTGTCTATTAATATAAGCTTATTAAACGCAATATCTTGTCTGGACCCACTGGGCAACGTTATATTCAGTCCTCATGTCAAGCCTAAATGCCACCTTTTGTGCTGCATTTGACATCCTCAGTTTGCCCTCTAAGTCACTCTCCAGCCTTCTCCATCCTGCAGGCCAATGTGTAGGGATTACAGCAAGAAGTCCCTCTGGCTTCCTATTGGATTCAACTAAGTGGGAGCTCCAATAGGAAAGCAGAAGAAGAAGAAAGGGTGAGGTCAGGACAACTGATTTCCTTGCTATAAGGTCACCTCAGGCCAGTTATTCCCACCAACAAAGATCAGGATTCCCCTCAAGGTGAGCATCTCTGCTACACTCTCCACCACCCTTCAGAGCCAAAAGAGGAACAGCTCTACTGCTGCTTCCTGCTTCACTGCACTGTCCTTTGTGCTTTCCTACATTCTCCCACATCTTTGTAAATAGTTCCTATTTAAACCCTTATTTAAATGTGTTCCTCTCCTGTTTGGACTCTGGCTGACACGGCCCTGCCTGTGAATTTGATCAAGACTGTTAGAGTTGATTTGACAGGCTCAATGTTCAAATCTCAATTTCATCCTGAGAGGGGTTATCAGAACCTCATCTCCGAAACATCACTAGAAGAGTACAACAGCAGTTATTTGCTCCTCATTATGCATTCGTGGCATACTTGTTAAGCCTCCACTTTGTGCAGCAAAAAAAAAAAAAAAAGAAAAGAAAACATTTAAAAAGCTTACCCTGTCTTCATATTATGTAAAAAACTGAAATAAGGGTATAGGGGATCTGCAACATTTGGGCTGGAACAAGGATGGTGAGCACTTAGAGAAAGAATTTAAGAAGTGGTGACTGCCCTCTGAATCTAAAAGCTGAAATTATTTTTTAAATAATAAAAACAAATAAATATATAAATTTAAATAAATTCTGATACTCAAAGTCTAAAAACGAAAAGAAGGCAAACTGGTGACAAATAATCTGAGACCTGATGGCTGAGAAGGGTGTGTCAAAGACCTCTCAAACTCAAGAGGCTCAAATCTGCAAACGTAGGCTTCTAAGAGTTCTTCCTTGGGGAGGCCTGCAAACCTAGGAGTCATCCTTAGGCTCTCTCTCACCCTTATTCCTCATATAAAATCAACCACACACTTTTCTTGTATGATATTCTTAGAATCTATCCAGTTCTTTCAGTCTTACCCATGATCTTGTACAAACTACTACCATCGCTCATTTGAATTACAATGTCTCTCTACATATTCATTTACCTACCACCTGGCATGGATTATGAGCTCAAAAAATATGTGCTAAAGATGGAAATAAAATGTCAGTAAGAAAAAATAATGGTGACTTCTCCAAATCAATAAAGAAGCTTCCATTAAGCATCAAAATACTTCATTTTTAAACATTTCTTAAAATATTACATTTTTCTCTGTCTTAAAGTATACTGGAAATAATTCGATATTTATAGAAGACTATGGATTATTATTGGGAACCTTAGTTATTGCATTTTCTTTTAATGCTGGCTGACTTTCAACTTTTCTGCTTTTTCAATTCTTCAGCCTGCAAGCCACAGATTTCTACTTTCTGCCTGTAGAGTAGGCAGTGTCCTTTCTGGTTACTGTCAGTGTTCCTGCCTCTAACAGCCTCTTTTGTCCTATCTAATTTGTTCCTTGAAATCTCCTGAAGACTGGGAAACTAGATAACCAAGCCTTTGGAATGAATGTCAAGTCAGGCTGACATGTGCCAAGTAAGCTCCCAAGGATTCTTCTAAGTTAGAACACTGAGACCAAACACCATTATCCCACTTCTGCCCACTGCTTTGCTTCTTTTTTTCCTTTTCTCCCTCTTTTTTCTCCTACTCCATCTTTTTTGTTTGTGAAGACTGCTATTCTATGGACTTACCAGCTAAGAGAAATTTTCCTTCCTTTCCTTGAGCAGCAAGCCCACCAAAATGGTGGACCTAATCTTTAGGGTTTCAACATCCTTGTTAATTTTCACTATTTTTAGGTATCCAGTAATATATGCAAGTATCTACTTCTCTCCCTGTTCTATACAGCAGAACAGGAGAACTAGAGAAGACTTCTTTGAATAAATGGAATTTTATTCTGAAAAGACTAATACCAAAGGCATCAAGGAGTTGAATGGCACTGTTAGCAGATCAATCAAGACTGGGTACAGTGGTAATGACCTTGTTCCTTGCTTACTCACAAAGATATTCTCCCCTTTTTAAACATTTTATCCAATTAGATTAATATTAATTGCTTCCACCTTTGGTTAAAGGGAAGCAGTGGGGAGTCAAACTACTCATTGTAAACCCAGGAAGAGTTTCGCTGGCTGTGGAGGAACACCAAAGCAAATAAGACACTTGTATAGGAAATTTCACAAGGGCAAAGCAAACAAGAGAGCAATAGCTCTCATTTCTATCTTGAATTTGAGCACTTAGCCCTTTCAAGTTGACTGCATGCTTTCAAAATGCATTAAGGAAAAGCAAGGAAGTTGGAGAAACAAAATTTGGCATGAAAGAGTTCTTATAAGCTGAGAATCGGGCTCTGATTTGAAGGACAACACCTTTAACATTTTTGAAGACTGGGTCTGACACTTGACTTTGTACAGCCAGCTGGAGCAGCCTTCAGTATAACAGGCAATTTACCCTCTTTGATGCATATGTGATGTTGACAGCTCAGATTCAAAGGTGAACAAAAATGACAGCACTGTTTTCCAAAAAAATACTCACTACCACAATTTTCTACATGCTAGCAAGAGGCCAAAGACTTGCCACATGTTTAGGACTGGAAGACATTCTGATGAAAAGTGAAAAGGCCAGAAAGAATCCAGGTGGCTGGGTTCATCAAACAGATGGTCAAAGCAGGAAGCTCAGAATAGGACACACCTATATAAGGGCGTCCCCTGTCTTCTTGCATTTGTGGAATAACTAGAAACCATACAGTGACTCTAAGCACAGTTCATTTGAAGATAATTTTCCACCCAGGTATGTTTTAAAACTGTTTTCCACCCAAAGTGCTTATTTGGCTCTGTCTCAGAATGGGTTTGAAAATGAGGCTATTCTAAGAAACTACCTTTGTAACAGGGAATACAAAGCACTAGCAGGAGTAAAAATGATGAGACAGTAGACATCAAGGTGCAGGTCAGGAGATCTGAACACTAGCTTCATTACATTATTCAGAAAACAGTTCTGTGACCTCAAACAGGGTCCTTAAACTTCTAGTCCAGAATGTCTTCAACTTTAAGTGACAGAGTATGGCAATATTACTTCTAATATGACTTCCAACTTATTTCAAGAATCTATGATTTTCAGGAATTTTCTGAACCTGAAATCTTATGTTTATCAAAATGTTGGATGTTAGGGAGAATAGCGAAGAATAAAAAAAATCCATATCTCATAGTAGAAAGAGCACCAGATTTGAAGCGACAAGTATCATTTGAATTCCATAAACCTGTTTCCATTCCTGAAAAATGGGTATCACAATGGTGTCCTTCCCAGGGTATTATTTCTATAAATCTTCTAATAAGTCATGTTCCAGCCCTCAAGGACCATACAGCTTATTGTGTGAGTGGGACACACATAGAGAACCATGAGTCACCAACTTTAATATACATCCAAATCACCTCAATAGCTTGTTAAAAATGCAGCTTCTGGGATAGAATTCAAAGCAGATGCTACTGGTCCTCAGATGACATTTTGAGTAGAAAGGCTATAAGAAAAACATGTCTAAAATAAAACACCATACAATAGTTATATGTATGATACTTACCATGAGTGAAAGCTTCTATCTCTTTCCACACACCTAAATCCTACCTTCCCTTCAAGACCGGTTCAAGTGATGTGGTTTATAAATACAGCCCAGAGCATCATAGCTCTCTGTAAGCTCTTTCCTCTACAAACCTTTGTCTTATTGTTGGCAACTATTCTAATAATCCTGAAATGTGGGTCTGCTGGCCAGCTGCACCAGAATCACAAAGGGAGCTTTTAAAATACAGATTCCCGGGTCCTACTCTCAGAGGCTCTCCAGTCATTTGGTCAGTAAAGCAGGAGGAGGTAGGGGCAGGACAAGACTCTGGATTTTAAAAACTTGCCCAGATGATTGTGATATTGGATTGGTTTGGCACAAAGTACTAAAGGGGTTGTTCTCAGCATTGGCTGCACATTAGATTCCATCACAAAGTTTATAAAACACAGGGGCTCAGGCTCCAGGCCAGCTAATTAAATAAAGTCACTTAGAGCTCCCCAGGTGGTTCTAATGTGAGCCAAATTTGAGAACAAAGCAAGTGCTAATGAAGTATACCGGTGCAGGTAAGAACCATATCAGATTGTTTTACCACTGTATCTCGAGTACCTAACCAGAACTGGGCAGTTAACCGATATTTGTTGAGTGAATATATGAACTAAGATAATGAGTCTTCAGACTGTAAATTATTTCCTTCATCTCTTGCCTTCCCCCCGACAAAATTATAAGCACTAGTACATGGGGTTACAGTTACGTTCTGGAGTGGATGCCTGGGCCAGAATCCTAGCCCTGCCATTTGCAATAGCAATGTTGTATAAGCTCCACAACTCTTCGCTCAGTTTCCTCCTTTGTGAGAAAAGGATGGCAACAATATTTGTGATTATGAAATAAATTAGGACACAAAAAACATGTACAAAGTGCCTGGTACAGAGTAACCACTGAATAATTGATAGCGATTTTTACATTGAATCACCAAGCACATAGTTCTTAGAGTTCTGTAATGGTCACATCAGTGAACATTCTCCAGTTATTCAACCAATAGATATTTCTTTACATCATCTTTATTTCAGGCACTGAGAATTGTTACTGTCGATATAGCAGCAAAAGAAACAAAACAGAACTACTTTATGGAATTTAAAATACAGTGGGTGCATTACACAATGAACAAGTTATTTTAAAGTGATGAGCAATAGAAAGTTATCTTAAGTGTATCAGCTATTGCAAAGGGGAAATGATCAGGGAGACAGAGAAAGGAATGGGACAATATTTACGACAGTGCGTAACTAGGGCAATTAATTAATATTAAAAATCAGGAAAGCCTTCCTGGAAAAGAAGGTATGTTCAAGTTGATTCAGCTTAACATAGGAAGGACAGAAGTTGGAGAGCATTTTAGGCAAAGGCAAGAGTGTCAATAAAAGCTTAGAATCATGAAGAGCAATGTATGCTGCAGGCACCAAAAGAAGGCAGGTGTGGCTGGGACAGAGCATAATCAAGGAAGGCTTTGAGCGATATGGGAGTTTAGGGTGGGTTTTGAAGAATGAGTAAGATTAAGAAGGGAAGGAAGAAAACAGAAGTTGAAGACAGGAAAATAAAGATGAACATAGCATTCATTCATTCAGCTTCTGCAATGTGCTAGATGCTGAAGATAAGCAGTGGGAGAAAATAAAAAGATGCCTGCCTTCATGGAGTGTACATTACAGATGGGTAGAAAGACAATAAAGCAAATAAGCCAAGTTATTAAGTAAGATCTTAAGAAGTCATTATAAACACTATAAAGAAAATGAGCAAGGTGACACGATAAGGAAAAGCTGGAATGTGGGCTGGAAGGAGCTATGTCTATAAGATTAAAGAGGACCTATGGATCTCCATGTAGTGTGTAACGGACATGACAAATTTTAGTCACCCTAGAAGGCCAGGCAGATGACTTTGACATCTTTAGGAAACTGAGGTTGCTCATTTTAAGGCTGTCTGTACTCCCTACCCTCCTTCTTTTATCTCACAATTCTTTCTCCTTCTCTACTAATACAGCAGGACAAGTTCTTGGCTTTGTTTAGGAAATAATTCCACAGTGAGCAGGTGGTGGAACAAAGCAGCTTTATTGAAGTGGCAGTGTTACAGCTCTGTGACTCCTTGCAGAGCAGAGCAAACCCATAGGCAGTGTGCTGAGAGTAGCAGCCTATGGGTGGTTGGAAATTTTATTTAAACATACATTTGATGACATGCAAATAAAGGGGCAGGATATTCAGAAATTGGTGGAAAATGTATGGTAACTTCTGGTTGTTGCAATGGAAATGCGTAGTAATTTCTGGGCATTGCCATGGCATTTGCAAACTGTCATGGTGCTTGTATCAATCTGTATTCACACTGCTGTAAAGAACTACCTGAGACTGGATAATTTATGAAGAAAAAAGGTTTGACTCACAGTTTTGCAGGCTTAACAGAAAGCATGACTGGGAGGCTGCAGGAAACTTTCAATCACGGCAGAAGGCAAAGGGGAAACAAGCATGTCTTACCATGGTGGAGCAGGAGACAGAGGACGAAGGGAGAAGTGCCACACACTTTCAAACAACCAGATCTCATGAGAACTCACTTACTGCCATGAGAACAGCAAGAGGGAAGTCCACCCGCATGATTCAATCACCTCCCAACAGGCCCCTCCCCCAACACATGAGGATTACAATCTGAGATTACATTTGGGTGGGGACACAGAGCCAAATGACATCAGCACTGGTGGGAGCATCTTGCACAGATGAGCAGCAAGGGCAACTAGAAGCTGCCTTCAGCACTGCTTGCTGATTTTGGTCTGTCTTCAGTCTGGTTCAGAGAATGAGTCCTGCCGGCCTCTTCCCTTCATAATGTTCCTTTATTAACGTCTCCCTTCTTTTTTTCTTCCAAAACTAAGTGGAGGAGGGAAGGGAGGATCATATAAGAATCAGTGATATATCCTAGATTTGAAATCAGAAAGAAACAATTTTGAGATGTAATCTCTACTCTGTTAGCCAAGGGACCTGAAGCTTCTGTTTCTTCATCTATAAACGGGGTAATAATATCTGCATTAGCCAGAGTTCTTCAGAGGAACAGAACCAATAGGATGTACATAAATGATGTGTATATACACAGAGAGAAAGATTTATTTTAAGGAATTGGCTCATGTGATTGTGTGGGCTAGCATGTCTACAATACGCAGGTCAGGGAGATGGGCTGGAGACCCAAAGAAGACTTGATGTTGCAGCTCAAGTCTGAAGGTGGTCTAGGGGCAGATTGACTGCTTCCTTGGGGGACCTCAGTCTTCTTCACTTAACACTTTCAACTGATGGGATGAGGTCCACCCACATTATGAAGGGTAATCTGCTTTATTCAATATCTATTGATTTAAATGTTAATCACATCTAAAATATATCTTCACAGCAACATCTAGACCAGTGTTTGACCAAATATCTGGGCATTGTAGCTTAGCCAAGTTGACACATAAAATCAGCAAACTAGTCTTTTTGCTTAAAATAAAGTGTGATTCTTTTTCTTTTCTTTTTTTTTTTTTTTTTTTCTGGATAAACTAGCTTCTAAAGTTATGTCCCAAAAATCTATTATCCAAAGCCATAACTGACCTTTCTAAACTCTGAATCTGATTTATGGAGTCATTCCACAAGTACTACTGTGCATATCCTTTGTGACAGATACTTAATAGAGGTAGACTACCAACATGCATTGAGACTGTACTTGCCCCAACAAATTCAGTCAGCTAGGGAGATGAGACTGCAAACCAGAATAGCTCCTGTTTACTGAAGGCCTACTAAGTGTCAAGCACTCTGCATTATGTCATTTAATCTTCACTCTGACTTTACACTGTGGCAATGAGTAAATTCTGCAGATTAAGTTGTTTTCCCAAGGAAACAAAGGCTACTAAATGCTGGAATGGGCATTTGAACCCTTGTCTGTCTGACTTCAATTCCCATGTGCTCTTCTGCTTTCTGATTACAAAGACAACCCTGTAAGACAGTTGCTGAGGAAAGGTTTGTAGAACATTCAGTAGGGGCACAGGAAAAGGCCTCCCTAACTCTGCCTGGGCAAGTCAGGGATGGCTTCACAATGGTCATGATGACCTTCTGTTTGAAATCATTATGTCCTTCAAAGGAGAAAAAAAGTCCAGAATATTAATTACCAAAACACCTAACATACTGCCCGATAGTCCTGCTCACTCTATGTTTTCTGTTAAACATTTTACACTTCCTTTTCTGGTATCCTTTGTACATCTTTCTCCACGCACCACTTTCCTCTTTGGCAAAATTCTATTTTTTTCCACAATTTTTCTGTATTCTAGCTTTGGTGAGGTATAACTGATAAAAATTTGCATATATTCGAGATATGCCTGAGAGTATGTATATTCTATGTAATGATTACCACAATCAAATTAAATAATAAATCCTTCAGCACACATAGTTACCACTTGTGTGTGAAGGGCAGTAAAGACACTTAAAATCTGCCCTATTAGCAAATTTCAAGTAAACAATATAGTCATCATGCTGTATATTAGATCCCTAAAGTTTATACATCTTATAACTGGAAGTCTGGATTCTTTAAACATCTCCCCACTTTCCTCAGGCTGTGTTCCTTGGTAACCACCATTCTACTCTCTGCTTCTATGAGTTCAAATTTTTTACATTCTGCATTTAAGTGAGATCATGCAGTATTTGTCTTTCTGTATCTGGCTTATTTCACTTGGTATAATGTCCTTGAAATAGATTCATGTTGTCAAAATGTTAGGACTTCTTTCTAAGGCTAAATAATGTGCCATTGTATATAGATTTTCCTTATCCATTCCTCCATTCATGAACACTTAAGTTGTTTCCATTACTCAGCTATTGTGAATACTGCTGCAATAAACATGGGAGTGTATACATCTCTTTCAGATACTGATGTTATTTCCTTTGGATGTGTTTTCAAAGGAAGGATTGTTGGATCCTGTGATTAGTTCTCATTTTAATTTTTTGAGGAATCTCCATACTGTTTTCCATAATGGCTGTACTAACTTACATTTCCACCAACACTAGCACTCGTTGACTTTTGGTTTTTTTGATAACAGACATCCTAACAGGTGTGAGGTGAAACCATGCTGTGGTTTTGACATGCATTTCCCTGAAGATTAGTGACACTGAGTAACTTTTCAGACTTCTTTGTCATTTGTCTTCCTTATGAAAACATCCATTCTGGTTCTTTGGCATTTATTTATTTATTTATTTTTTTGTTATTATTATTATCGAGATGTCGTTTTGCTCTTGTTGCCCAGGCTGGAGTGCAGTGGCACGATGTAGGCTCACTGCAACCTCTGCCTCCTTAGCTCAAGTGATTCTCCTACCTCAGCCTCCCAAAGAGCTGGGATTACAGGCATGCACCACCATGCCTAGCTAATTTTGTATTTGTAATAGAGAAGGAGTATCGACATGTTGGTCAGACTGGTCTCCAACTCCTGACCTCAAGTGACCCACCTGCTTTGGCCTCCCAAAGTGCTGGGATTACAGGTGAGAGGCACTGTGCCCAGCCAGCAATTTG